AATTTATTTGAAAATTTAGAGTGTTACATTTGCTTTGCTTAAAACTGTTTCATAGTGAAGATTGAAATATAACTTAATAAGACCATCATTAACCTTTCGTTGTGATAAATAAAATGAGTTTTGTAAACCAAGTGTTCTTGGAACATATTAAGAGTTGTTGAATATATTCACAACTCAATCCATCAAAAACACTCACGCGTCATTCGTATAGTTCTTGTGGCACAAGATCACCTGGTCGCTTGGATTTGTCTTATGATGTTCGAGGTAGATTTCATACTCTATAGTGAGATAGGGTCACATGGCCACTGGCTGAATGTCGATAATACAAGTTTTTGAAAAGAATAAATCAGACCTTAGAGTCTACTATATGATGGTTTTTAAATAACTATTTCCTTCATAATATTTTTGGAGTTATGCTCACTACAAAAAATATACATTGAATATATATGTTTCCAACTAAACAAGTAGCTTAACTACATTCATTAGACTAAGGATGAAATGGTCTATCCTTATCTAAAAGGTATAGATTTATGGAGCTTATGTCAGACAATAAGCTTGACTCACTCTAGCATCTACTAATTGCATTTATGTAGACTATCCTAAGTGATTGTTTAGGATTAAGTTTCTATAATCCTACTGATTGTCATTCTAGAAGAAATTTACTTAGAAAGTTCTTTTTCTAAGTGGGAGGAATATGAAACTTTAAGATCTAAAGAACCATAAGCTAAATGCATCATATTTTGGAACTAGCAAGTTTTTGACAGTTGTTGAACTTGTTCAATAGTTGATCAGAAACTAAATAAAACACATAGAGATGTATTCATGTATGATTATCAAGTATGGTCTTCATTAATATTCCTCAATACATTATGAATACAATGAGTATGTGAGTTTTCAAAGGACAAAACATACATGAATGAAAATCGTTTCAGATTTAAGCTAACATCTCAAAGTAAGAATCCTTTTTCCTATAAGATAATTACTTAGTGTGACTTCATTATAAATCAAGATGACTCTTATACTTTCTGTAAAGCTAGTGGGAGCGTAGTAACATTCGTAGTCTTATATGTGATTGACATACTAATTCTTTGAATAAAGATCTATATAGATAGATCATGGCAACTTAAAACATTAAGTAGAATTGCATTAGTTGTCAAGCATCTTAAAGAGAATAAGGTACAAGACTTTAAGAGAGTTTATATTGTCAATACCACATGACATGATTTTGATCATCCCTCAAAATCCAAGTACAATGTTTTGAACTAGATAATATGATTGTATTTCATATGCTGTTGCAATTGGATTAATCATATATATGTCATGATTATGCATGAAGGTCATATATGGCGTATGCTTAAAGCATGTCGAATAAATACCAATATAATCTGAGAACAAGTCATGGTATGACTTATGGGAACATTCTAAAGTACTTTCGAGAACTAGAGAAATATTCCTAATTCGCGGAGTATTTGAAAGAAAGTTGTGTTTAAAGTGTTACACATATGTTAAACTTCCAAATAGAGTGAGATGATTCTTATTCATAATCGGGTGTGTCTTCATTCTAAATGAAGGAGAAAGTTACATTTATAGTGGTTCCATGTAGATTTTAATTACAGTCACACATCAAAGTTAGAATACATTGTTGTTCGTGGAATCACATATGAAGATACTTAAATGTTCAGTTCATTTATGACTGTGAGTAATCTCATTACGCAAGTATTGGTATCTAAGTCATATTTAAACATCTAGAGAATTCTCAAGATTTTTCTTTATATATGAGTTATATATAAAACTGAAAATGTTGGTATTCGGAAAGTTTATACATATCAAGTTTTTCGAATCTACTTAACTAAGTTCCTTCATTAGCTAAAGCATGCAAGTCACACTGGTGCTATAGAACCTTATTGTCCTAAGTGGATGTATTTGATTGAAATTTAGTATTTAGATATTGGAATTACTATAGTACAAGCAATATATATTGTAATGAGTTGATATATTGGATATAGTTTGTCATTAAATAATTATTGTGTTCTATATTAGCATGTGTAATCCTTGAATAACTTGGTTATTCTAAATGTCCATAATCGTTCTTAGTTATGGGAGCACCTACGAGGTAAGACTAATATGAATGGATTGGTTGATTTTCAATGATATGAAAATGCAACGAGTTGCAACCAAATTCATAAGCACTTGATTGAGAATAAGTATTGAACTTGACCTGCATCAAAATCACTTTATGGATCGTAGTAATGAGTGATGGTTTAATCAAGGTAGTATCCTTGTATTCTTCGACCTGAGATACATATTTGGGACTTCAGCGTAGGAATTGTTATGCTTTGATATGGTTTAATATTTTTCCGTAAAAGGTAGTTACAAGGGCCATCGTTGGATACAACATGAACTACATAATGGGGGTATATAGTCAAGATGGGATTTGTTCATCTTATTTGTTGAAAGTTAGACATCTAAGGCCTTAATAAAAGTTGAACAACACATGAGATTAATTGTGATCCATATATCATGTTCAACATGAAGTCTGAGACAAAGAAATAACTGATACAACACATTTATTAACAATTGCAACTTTGAGCTCCTCCAATTAGTTGTTGATGAGATGTCACCCTTTGAATGTGGTTAGGGGCGGTAGCCCGTTGCTAGACGCCAACTACTGTCTACGTCAATCTGTAATAAATCTTGTGCAAGTGGGAGATTAATGGATCTATATGCTCAACAATCATTATTCAATGATATTGCTATTAACATATGATCATAAAGGGTCACACCTTTATCAAGTTGACATATTTTGAATATTTATTATTAATATGATTATTAATAAATAATCAACTATTGTATTTAATGAGGAAATAATTATTGTTTTTTGTGAAAATAATAATTAAAAACAAAAAAACTGTTTATTATATAATATATTATGATTTGATAAGTCATATAGAAAATTTTGGACACTTTTGGTAAACTATGAACTTACTTGTTAGTTAGTTTTTTTGGTTAAAGTGCGTTATGGATTACTTGGAGGCAACAGGTCGCTCCACTTATAGAATATAATGAAGCAAGCTAGCAACACTCCTAATAACGAAGGAAATGGGCATTCGACAATCGACTAGTCGCTTCTAGCGAAGCTTTTAGAAGCCTCCATCGATATTCAATTTCTCTTGTCATTGTATCGATTATCTGAGTTGGCTGGCTTTAAAACCCAATGATTGCTATTATATAATTATTTCCTTGTTTTTTGATTCTACTAACTTTTAGCTTAATCAAATTTCGTCGTTCCAAAAAAAATGTAATTGCTAATAATATACAAACTTTTGTGCAAGAACATACTGAATTCTCACAAAAGATCTCTTTGGAAGGAGGGCATCGTTTGTTGACAATTGGTAAGTACCGAACCCGTGTCGGCGGGTTGGAAGATTTTGTAGGATTTTGACACCTTAAGGGGTTGATAAACCCACTAATTCAATTGCATTCATTTATTTTATTTTATTTTTCTATTTTTTTATGCTTTTCATACTATTTACACACGCAAACGTGTGTGTGTATATATATATATATATATATATATATATATATATATATATATATATATATATATATAGGGTTAGGTTATTTTATTTTTACTAACTATTGTGTGTCAGAATGCACAGATCTGGACCATCGGATGGAATATAATCAAAGGTCATGATCTGAGGGTCTATGATAGTAGAATAGGATAACATGTACCATATAATCACACAAATTTCAGCATAAGGGCATTTTAGTCAATTAACCTATATTAAAAAAGGAAATTTTCGGATTTTTAGGGATGATTAATTCCTTTATTTTTTAAAAATCTGAATATTTTAAATTAATTCAAATTTAAAAATCCGATTTTATTCTGTCAGAATGATAGAATGCCAACCATAAACTAGTAAATATATTTTTCGATTTTATTCTGTCAGAATGGCAGAATGTCAACCATAAACTAGTAAATACATTCTGAAAAAATACACAAATCAATTCTTGAACTAATAATATAACAAATAATTACATTGTATGATTGTGATTCATTGAATAATAACAACATTCTGAAAGAAAAAATAAAAAAAAACATCAAAATCTAACAAAAACACTAATCTATTCTGAAAGAATATTATTTTTAAGCAACACTTTATACATTGTAGCATAAAACATTCTGGTATAATACACTCTCGTTCTATATGTTTTCTTCATTCTCCACATCAATGTTAGCCTCTTCAAAACCTAAATCCACAAAGAAAAGATAATCAAGTTTCAAAAATTAAACAATTCAATGCATTCTAATAGAATACAACAATAAATATTCTTACAGAATAAACTATTCTTGCAGAATGGTTTTGAATATTCTTAAAGAATTTGTAACATTAAAAAAAATCATTTGTTGGGGATTGAATGATTCAACTCCACTAATACAAAACACAAACCCTGAATTCTTTCAAAATCGCTATTTTACACCTGTTTATTGTTTTTTACATTCTAAATCAAAACCGAATGACATTGATACTTCCATGAAAACAAGCCTTGAGCAAGCTATATTTACAGACTTCAAAAACATATTACAGCCTTATTCTCCAATGGAGAAAGAAAAACACCCCTACATGGCGTGTTTATTAACAGGCTATTCACAAATATCATACAAATCAATCATATGCAACTCCATTCACAACATGCTATGTAGAAAAAGAATCAATTAATAATAACAAAGACTTACTTGTGCATCAGATTTACTCATGCCTCAAAGCTCCCGATAATGCTGCTTTGTAAAGTCCTCATATTCACATGAATGTTCTCCTTGATAAAATCCCTCAACTCAATAAGATTTTCACTTGGGTCTTTTGGGAAGTCCTGATTTGATTGAATTTTCGTGTTCCTTTTCCTGTCAAATGAATTAAACCCAAACACTCATTTGGGTTCTACCGATCACTGCCAAACATCTAAAAAAAAACTGAGATACCTTCTGCGTTTGACCTCTAATCACCGAACAATCTATCCTCCAACCTTTCTTTTCCTTCCGTCGATCCTTGCTGCCAAATGGTTCCCACCTGATGTCGCTGAAGTCCTGATTTGATTGAAACAATTCATCAAAAATGGAAGCTAGCAAGTAAAGATTAGCAAAAAGTGAGAAAAATCATATAATGTACCTTTTCCCAATTCGGATTCAAGATTACATCCATGGTGATTGTACCTTCCAGGATTAAAATCAAGAAAATGAAGATAAGGTGGAGGCGTGAGGACCTTTGATAGAGCAGCGATGGTGGGGATCGTATTCATAAACTGAGATAGCTTCTGCGTTTGACCTCTAATCACCGAACAATCTATCCTCCAACCTTTCTTTTCCTTCCATCGATCCTTGCTGCCAAATCGTTCCCACCTGATGTCGCTGAAGTCCTGATTTGATTGAAACGATTCATCAAAAATGGACGCTAGCAAGTAAAGATTGTGGAGGGGGAGGAGCTATTTCGATTGGAGAAAGGATGCAAAGATGAACACAAGCCCTAGGTTGAAACAGAGTGGTCGTTCGATGTAGACGAAAAAGAGCGTGATATCTAGGGTTTTAAACTGATTTCCATTATTTAAAGGAGGCATTAAATGATTTATTATTTTTACCATAGTTAGATATTCTAAGTTTACCATTATACCTTTTTTTAATTTATTTAATGATTTATTATTTCCTGAAATCTCATTGGTGCATACATGCACGCAATAGTTGGTAAAAACATTTGAACCTAGCTATATATATATATATATATATATATATATATATATATATATATATATAATATTTTTCTCATTTACAAAAATATAATAATATCAAATATAATTAATATTTTGTCTCTATAAATTATTTTTATAATTTATGAATTAATTTGTATAATTTTTATTAGTTATTGTTTATTTTAAAATTAAAAATTAAATGAATTGAACTGGTTATAAAAGATATAGTTTTCATATTGTGGGTTGGGAGGGTTGAATGTGTTAGGAGGATTAATAATCTATTAGTTAAGCTATCAAAAAACTACAATTTTCACGGACTTTTTGTTAATATTTATATTACATAGAGGAATCTCTGCTGCTGGTTTGCAATTTTGCCGATTAGCATTTAGCAACGTGCAAATGCCAAATGGGAATTGGTATTTGGAATGAAACTAAACTGGGCATGTGGCCTTGTACTTCGTCTCGGCCTAAAATGCTAAAGAGCTTCACAGCAAGGTTGCTGCCTGCAGGCAGCCCAAACCTGAAACAATGAAAAATATCAATATTAAGGTTTATGACAATTTGCAGAATTATAAACGTTTATGTCTATCGTTTGAATGTATTATTGTCGTTACAACGGAAAATAATTATGATATATCTGTTGTGTTCCATCAAACAATGAAGGTTTCTAGACTATGTGAGTTGAGTTGTGATTTACTTTGATTGAATTGTTTGTGACAATGTTACTCGATCGAGATTTAATAAGAAAAGAACACGAAGTGTATAGATATTCGAATTATAAAATATGTTAAATTTAAGAAAACATAATTATATATACATAAAAATTTTGAACCCCTTTTGTAAAAAGTGGTCAATTTTTACTTTAGCCCCTGAACTTTTGTTGTTTGTGGGTTTTGTCAGTTTTAGTCCCCGATCAAATTATTTATACATTCCTCGTCAATGTCGGGTCAATTATGGTCAGGTCAATAGTCAAGTCTTAAAGTAATTCGACTATAAGCTTCTAAGATACGTGTTCCTCGCTTCCTCGTCTGGTCACCGCGTCCCCCATCTAGTTACCTTCCACCGACTCCAATACGAATAGGTGTTCCTTAATCCCTTAAATCGAATGATACATGTTCACCGTCTTCATCAACGAATTAGAAGGTCACATCCCATCTTCAAGAACAACCCTGTAATATATAACAAAATTAGTTACTTGACAATAACCCTAATTTGGGTTTTCTTTCTAATCTTACTATAAGTAAGGTGAGAAGGTAAAAGCACAACCAGATTCTCTTAATCATGGTGGCTTGACGCCTTCTATCAATCTGTGTTCTAATGAACATCAGAAAAAGGATCAAGATTGGTTTGCACTAAGTAAGGTTTTCTTTCTTCACCTTCTCTTTGTCATTTTTTCTACATTAGATCCATATAATATAAAAATTAATGTAAATGACAGTTACAACAGAAAGTTGGCGTAGTATAGCGATGAATGCATCGTAGAAAGAAGTGTTGGTGATTTTAGTGCCACCATGTAATTTTGTGTAATTTGAACTAACATGCGAACTAAGGGGCTTCATAATTTGTACTCTAATATATGTACGGGTTTGTGCGGAGTGCACACATATATCAGGGATCCGGGGGCAGCGCCCCTGGGTCCGAGGTTTTGCAAAGGGGCAGCGCCCGTAGCAGGGTCCAAGGGGGCAGAGCCCCTGGCTGGGGTCCTAAGAGGCAAATAGAAGAAAGATAAATCCAGATTTCCCTGACTTGCTTCCAAAGCAACCCATGACAGCCAACCCTAAGAGGCAAACCTTAATCTCGTTTATTATAAATAAACGGCTCTTCTCTTTGAGAAGAGACACACGAAAATTATTAGTTCTCTTTTTCTTCAGACGAACATAGAATTCTTCTAGCATTTTGGCTTACGATTTCTGTGTCTAGATTCGTAAGTGTCCTCTTGGATTATCCTTGGCTAAATTTCTTGCAACCCAAACATAGGGTAATAATATCAGTTCGGAAAATGTTCACACGATCCAAGGGGTATCCAGATCTCCGACATAAACTCTAATTCATCCAACAAGAAGCTTAATAATAGACTTTTACTTGCTTATGTATGTGCTACCAATTATTAATAACGTAAGAACCCTGAATTCATAATTCCTTTTCCGCATATAATTCACCTAAATTTTCATGAGAGTTACAATTATTATTTGCATTCTTAGGTTTTTTTTAACTTCCTTTTTTGTGATTTATATGAATAATAGAAAACATAAAAACAATTCTAAAAAAAAAAACCAATAAAAAAAAAAAACCAAAAAAATAAAGGTTTTTATCTAATTTATCTTTCTTGTATTTATCCTAATCATATATTCTTCATGTATGCAAAAAAAAAAAAAAAAAAAAAAAAAAGGAAAAAAAAAAAAAAAAAAAACCACGCTCAATCTATACTTGCCCAAAAACATAGCTAGCCCAAAGCCAATTATTGGATTTGCCTAAAAAATAAAAACTCATTCTCGATCTTTTTACCCTAATCATGTATTCTATTTACTAGTAGAGAATGTACCATAGGTAAGGAAGAAATATATAATCTTTTTAGAATTTACTGAAGTTTTAAATCATATCTTAAAAAATAAAGGTTTTTATCTAAAAAGCTTTCTTTACAAAATTGTGCTTTATTAACCTGTTTACGTTTATTTTTGACTTTTAATGTTGTATATATAAAAGGTTGGGTCCGTAGTAGGATTTCAATTAACAGGAAGAGATATCATTGTCACATGCACTGATCATAGTTGAGCATATTTACAATTTATCAAACTACAGTTTATAAAAATCTTTTGATGGCATCATGATTAATATGATGATGCTGAGGTACAAAATTTCTCTGATGAATCAATCAAAAAAAAGATGTTTAATGCAATTAATATGGTTGGTAATTCGTTACAAAAAATATTTGTTAGTTACTCAATCTTTTTATCAACTTATTTATTTAGAAAGTGTACTTTTTATTTAGCGAATTAGGCAAACTACAGGAAATGATAACATACTTCAATTTTTTACCAGTTGAAGCAATGCACTTACATTAATTTACCAATAACAGAAACCTAAACAACAATATAATTACATATATTTACTAAAAAACTATGTTTACAATAAATAAAGTACAATGGCCATAAAAGCAGATTGCTATAAAGTCCACTTACAACATCAATGCAAATTCATTTTCTAATGGTTCATTTTTATGCTGTAGATTCTATTTCTTTTCGGTCTAATGGGGGGATTGTATTTTCATTCGTGTAGGAAAACTTCAAATTGTTGGATGACATGTTGGAATTAAGACCTACTATGTATTTTTCAATCAGTGTGTGCTTATTGCAGTGAAGCCATCTGGTGGTATGGGAGAACTACTTTTTACTGTTCAAATACGAATGCAAAGAGGCGAACATTAATTACTTAAAATAACAACATTTTGTGGTGGGAGCTGCCGGATTTGACTTTCTGAATCTTTAAGACCAAGGACCTGATGCAGAAATTGCTATATAATGCAATAAAAGTAATAGTTACAATCCATTTCTACAAACGTTGCTTCATTTATCCTAATGTATTCTTCTATGCGTGATTGATTATAAGTTGGAGATACTAAGAAAACTTTAAGAGAGAGTTTTGCATGTGGAGCTTACATTCGTACTCATTTAAAATTGTGACAAATGGTAAAGTGATTCTTTGTTATTCAGGTAGAAAAAAGAATAAGACTCAGATTTGTTATTGTCAACCATTTAATTTTTTATATATCATTGTACTATCATCTTCTTAAACTGTAGACAAATTTAACAATTTCTTTACAAGTAGCAGTAATACCAGATATAGCATACTACTTTGGTCGATTTATGTATGGTTTATGGCTAATAGTCATAAATAGCAAAGTAGTTTCATTCGATAGAAAACCAAAAATCTTATTAAAGAAGTTTCAACCATAACATCATTTGACTATACCAAAAAAAGGGATAGATAACACATCAAAAATACTGAAGACTTCCAATCCCCACAACGCGAAGGGACTTTCTCCGGTTATAATTAAAAAGTAACGTCGGTGATTGTTTTCATGGATATTTTGCCTCTTTTATTTTTTTTCAAATGACATTTATTACTTTTTTATTTTTAAAATTACTTTATAAACTTTTTTCCTTCTTTTACCTTTTTAAACATTACTTTGACCTTTTATATTTTTAACTTTGAAAAATATTACTCTCACGTTTCCATTTTCTAAATATTGGGTTAACTACCGTAATATATATAATCTGATTTTCTTAATAATTTTTTATGTTCCACGTAATTTTTTTTATATGTTGCTACTAATTTTTATGTAAATTTTTATTGATGAATCAAGTTCGAGGTTTTTATTTTTTTTTTTTTTTTTTTTACATTTCAATGTAAATTTTCTATATGTTTTCATGCTTATTTTTATGTATATTTCGTACTCATGAGTCAGATCATATATAATACATTTTAATTCGATGGTATAAATTTAAGTTAGTCGGTGGTACCGACATTGTATATTTATTTACCAACAAATACAACGATATCTAATTTTTATCAATTTAATCGTCAAAACTCAACTTATAAAACATATTGGCCCCACAGCAACGTGTATCAGACAACTTACGGTAACAATATAAATTTGATGTTTTCTGTAACACTTGCCACCATTTCTATCCAATTATGTACTTTTTAAAATGTCATTTTTCTCCCTATACTTTGAACTTTATAAAATATTATTTTGACCCCTTCATTTTGTAAATTTTTATGTTTATTCCCTGTAGTATGTATAATCTGATTTTTCTTAATAACTTTCATTTTTTCACTTAAAAAATAACTATTTTTTACGTGCTTATTCTAATATATATATGTCGGTATAAATTCAAGGTGGTCGATGTTTTGACGTAAATTTTGAAGTTTCTTTCGTTAATTTGTACTAACATTGTATATCTATCTAACAAAAAATACATAATTGTCAAAATTCAACTTACAAAACAATTGACGATGCCGGAACGTGCGACGGAAGAAATTCTAGTTATATAATAAAAGACAGAGTTGGTAGATATTTCCACCGACAATTTTATTTTGAAAAATAATATATCCACCTATCTTTTTTCTTTTAGATGTCACTTTGACTTTCTCGATTTTTACCATCGACAATTTGCACCGCTTCAATTTTGAACTTCTGTAAAATATCACTTTCAATCCTTTGATTTTCTAATTTTTTTTATCCCTGGTAGTATACAAAATCTTATGTTCTTTGATTACTTTTATTTCTTGACTTAAAAAAAACTATTTTTTATCTGTTTATTGATTTGAAAAATAATATTTTCCACCCCTCTACTTTTTAAATTGTCAGTTTGACCCCTCTTGACTTTTACCATCAATAATTTGCATCATTCTACTTTGTAAAATGATATTTTCTACCATTATACTTTTAAAAATATCATTTTGACCCCCTCGACTTTGAACTTTGTAAAATATCAACTTTACACCTCCTGTTTTATAAACTTTCGTGTTTGTCCTCCGTAATATACAAAATCAGATTTTCCTTAAAAACATTCGTTTGTTAACTTAAAAAAATACGAATTTTTATGAGTTTATTTTTATGTATTTATCAGTATAAATTCGAGATAGTCAACGTTTCTACATAAATTTAGAACTTTCATTCGTTATTTAAAAAAAAAACTACTTACTTTTTTTATGTACATGTCAATATAAATTAAGGTTTGTCTACATTTCTACTTAATTCTTTTATGCTTTCGTGTTTATTTTTAGTTACATCTACCAATAGAAACTACTCAAATTTTACTAATTTCAATATGTATCAACTTACTTTCTACTACCTTTTAAATCCATAACAGTCACTACAACATGCAATGGGTAAAATCCTAGTAATATTTAATTATTAACGAATTAGAGTAGAGACTCGTGTATTATATGGGTTGACGAATTATAAACTAAAACTACATTGCTAAAATATAAAACTACAAAACCAAATAATGGAAAAATATAAATATATGAAATATAATGAAAGTACTATGGTGAATATGTATGAAATATGACTTTTAAAATCTTCATTTCCGTCACACCCCCGCCTTGGCAGCGGAAACGCCGAGCGACACGGCGTTAGGATGTTGGATCATATAGAAGGATTTTTCATGTCATTCATCACATAAATATCACTTCCATTAAACAATTGATAACTTACAAGAAAAAAAATATTAGTTTTATTATATTAATTGGTAGACTACAATTCGTTTTATAATCTTTTGTTGAAAGATCTCATGTCTCCATTGGTAACCTAGGAATACATGTGAGTTTTAAAAGATCAACATAATGTTGGTGAGTCCACATATTTTGGTACACTTGAAAATA